CCTTCTTCAACCCATTATGTAAGCATAATGTGTGTAATTTCCTCTTATATCATATATTGCCTAATCATTAAATAAATTCATCGCTGCATTTGAAGAGTTGACCCTTCTGCTAATACCTATGAAAACTGCAGTAGCTTCTCTGTAGCATATTTCAGGCAGGTCGTAGGCCTATAGGAATCGCTTCATCTCGACGAGCACAATGGTTTCACAAGGAATTTGTCTCGGTTATTTTGCGCCAACATGCAAAACAGTTCCACAATATAGGATTAACTGACTAGAGGCAGGATAAAAACCTCACGCCTGATGACAGGACACACGGTATGACATTAAGCTATAGAAAGTGCAATTACATGTTCAAAACGGAGGTGCAGCCAAAACACTGTTGTTTTTCATGTTGTGTTCAAAAGATCTTTACATCTTTGCACACTAAATTTTTATAGCATTAACTGGCCCAATTCTGGCATTTCAAAAATGTTAAAAGTGTGTTTACACATTCATTTTCAACATCTTAATGAGTTCAGAAATACTTTCCCTGTAAATTAGGGGGAGACAAGCATGCCAAACCAACTTTTTTTTTTTAATTATAGTATTTTTATGAAATATCATAGCACTCTATTACTGCCAGCCACTCTTTCTTTCTCTATTCACACTGCCACTGTTCTACTATAAATAGATTTGACAACAGAATAATAAAGAGCCATGAAAGAAAGAGACAGAATACATGATATAAAAGCGAATGCCAACCAGTGGCACTGAAGCGTCAGTCAACATTGTTGTGATAACACTTCAAAGCTCAATGTATCTACATGCTTTTAAGTTCTTAGGACACCAGATTTTAACCTGTTTAGAGGCAAAACTTGGTGTGTGAAAACTTAATCAATATTTTAATATTAACAGTGAATATGTTCAATGTGAGAGGTGTTGTTCATAGGTTGAGTGTAGCGACTGGAGCAGAGAGTTAGCTAGTTGGTAGTAAGCAGTATGGCTTTCAACGTAGAGTGCGATGTATATACATTTAAGGCTATTTGTCAATAAAAAAATGCTACAACTCCTCAAGACCCAAGTTCCTCCAGTACAGTCCAGACTCTGCTTGTTTATCTGTAAAACTCAACACATGCCAGTGCTATGTGGCAATAGTGAAAATTACAAACAGTTCCTGTGTGATAACACACACACACACACACACCACACACACACTTTTTTTTCCATTTAGCTTGTGATGAATAATCTGTTCAATCATGTTTGTTTTCTGAATCAGTTTGTAAAGGAACTCTCACACAGCATCTGTCAGTAGCTATTGTACCAAACACATCTGTTTACATACACAACATGGAAAAAAGACGTAGAGAACATGTATACCATTGTGTATATGCTAAATGTGTTTTGCACAGTTACCCTTTCAAACTGTCAGAAAAATCACTACCTCCCAGCATTAGACATGTCATTTAGTCTCCTCACTTGATTTCTGTTGCAATCAAGACGCAGTATCAATTGATAGGCTCTAATATAAGTGAGATAGGAATGAGGAGCTCAGACAAAGAGATCTATTCTCCTTTTCTTCGTGTAAATGTGAGGATTAGTTTGGGGGAAAAGTTAGGCTCTACAGAGAACAATAAAATCAATAAAACACAGACTCCTCACAGAAAGAGAGGTAACTCTGCATCGACTACAGGCTGCTCACACACTCAATCAGATTAACTAATGAAGCAATTATTGATCCAAAGTGGGGCTGCTGGCCGGCACAGGAATGGCCATTAAGTGGATCTTCCCCTCCCTTGGCCTTGCTGAAAATGTCAGGGTCACTCTGCTCGCTGCTTGACACAGTTTACTGAAGCTCAATCTGTAGAAGACTAATCACTCGTCTGCCTCTGAGGAGCGGTTCTGAAGGGGCCAACACCTCCACAGGATAGGGGAGAAATTTGATTTTCACAAAACCTGGTGAGGAGCCAAATTAACCTGTGCCATATTTGCTGCTGTTTCAATTGTGCGAAAATGAAGGAATGCAAAAGAGAACTGATGACTGCAGAGCTGCAAATGAGCATGCCACGCTGCAGCGCCAGTTCTGGTTACTGCTGTTGCTGCATTTATTCTGACAAAGCTGAATTGAATTATTTTTATATATGAAACACACCTATGATAATTAGTGTAGGCCTACAACACGATCCAGTGGGGGAAGACAGAGCGAGAGAGGGAGAGAGGCAGAGAGAGAGAGGGAGAGAGAGAGAGAGAGCGAGAGAGAGAGAGAGAGAGAGAGAAAAAAGATTTTCTGTCTGCAGTATCCCTGAATGTCAAAAATATGTACTTTTATTGCCTGAGTCCATGGCAACACAAGGTTGTTTGTTTCCATGCTCATAGCAGGAGCAGTGTCACAAGATGTCTCACAAGATGTCAAAATAGGAGTGCTCATTCTTTCATCAAATAAAAGACAGCAGGAGCTGGTACAGTTCCTCACTATGACACCATATATTGTGATTCATTATTCTGTGTGTAATCTCTTTCTCCAGTCATGGGGACTGACTGAAAATGTTCTCCTGTGAATACAAAATCAACCTGAGCTTCAGCTGCATTCATTCCAGTGAAAGGCAAAAGCATGACATGAAGTTTAAGGACAACTAGCTCACAGGATTACTGTAGATTCTCTGGTTGCATGAATTTAAGGTTACTCTGTTTTTGTTGTTTCCATTTTGTTCAATATTTCGTCCTTGACCGGTCCCACCTGAAATCCCAATTATGACCAAGATGTTATTGTTTGGTAATTGAACATCACGCTCCAGGCTTGGTCATCAGTCAGTCTCATTCACTTTCACCCACACGGAAAAAAAAAGCAAATAGTTCTTTTTTTTTTCTCTCTGCGCACTGAGGCAGGAAAAATATTGCTTTGCGGTTAACTTCTAATCAAATTGCATTAGGTTTTCACAGCCTGTGCCCTCACTCCATTTGCACAAACCATCACAGACCTACATGAATTTCACACCCAGGGTGAGGAATACTTACTTCTTCACCCCAATAGATTTCTCCCCCAGCCCAGCACATACTGTGCGCACATGCAGACACACATTTTGTGATCAGACAAGCATGATCATGCAGTTACAGCACAGTGGTAAACCATTTTATTTGCAGCAAGTGTGGTTTTAATGACATTTTACATGCTCTTTTTTTTTTTTTTACCAACTTCTGAAATAGACTCGCTGAAACTGTCACTGTTATGCCTGTTTAAGAGCCTGGTTCTGCCACAGAAAACAGCCACATCTATAGTCACAATATATTCGTCATCACATGGGAAACTTCACCCAAACAACAACAATCTACGCAAGTATATGAAACCAACTGCTGACATTACATGCAGTCAAAAATAAGTTACAAGTGAAGAGAAGTAAAAACTCTCTCAGTGCCAAAGCACTCACATTAATTCTAATTATTAGCATAGTCATTATATGGATATCAATTATTGTCTCTTGAATGTGCTCAGTGAAATAAGTGAAAAGTAAGGAGATATGTGCAAGGATTTTAATAATTAAATAAGGCTAAATTATTTATGAGGTAATTTTCTTTATTATAATTAACCTTAGACCTACATCCTATAGCCTGTTATAACATGAATCTTCTGTCCTCTGCCTGTGAGGCACAGAGCAGTGAGACTCCTGCATGAAACAAGTCTAAGCCAGGGGCTGATTGAAAGTATGCCTCAGTGTGTGTGTGTGTGTGTGTGTGTATGTGTTTGTGTGAGTGCATGTATCTGTAAGTGTGTGAGAGTGCATGTATCTGTAAGTGTGTGAGAGTGCATGTCGGATACAGCAGAAGTTCCTCAAGCACTGTGGTTAAGTACAATTTTGAGGTTCTGGCACATTCCATCGTAGGAGATGTCTACTTTAAATGTACATCTTAGATTCACTGCAGTTTAGACGTTGGCTGTATTTTTAAGTTACTTTGCAGATTCGGATTTCCCACTGTGATAAGCTCATGAAATGTCACTATTGTCAGTTAAAAATAAAATTCAAAAATCTAAATGTCAACTTTTCAGAGCAACAGTTTAGCCAATGAAAACCCCCCAAAATTATTAAAAATCCAAAACAATTTTCCTTTTGTGGGAGGTTTTAATTCCTCATGCATTAACCACTCTGACATACAGACCATCTGTTGAAAGACAGCTGAAACAACTGGTGAATTAATCAATTAGATGATGGACAGAATATTTAATGCAACTATTCTGAGATTCGATTGGTTGTGTAAATGACAAAAGATTCTCTGGCTCCAGCTTCTCAAATATGAGGATCTGCTGCTCGTCTTTCCTGTGAATCATCTTAAATACCTTCAGGTTCTGGATTCGGAGTGAAAAGCCATGAAATTGTGATTTTCATTTTTCACTATTTGTCTGATGTTTAATCAACTACCTGAGTGTCACCGCCAGATTACTACTTGAGTACAATTTACTACTAATACTAGCTAATGTGTGCTTTTACCTCAGCTAAGTTTTGTGTGTGTGTGTGTGTACGCGTGTGTGTGCGCGCGTGTGTGCGCGCGTGTGTGTGTGTGCTTGGATTTGTGTCAACATGTGTGTGCATGCAGCATGTATGGGTGGGGTAGGGGAGTTGGAGACGAGAGTGAAGGGGGTGAGAGAGAGGGGAAGGTGGGGGGGGCGGGCATGAGGAGGGGTTGAGTTTGAGTTGAGTTCTTAAGAAAATGGGCGGGGCGGGGCCGGGTTGGGGTGGGGGGGGGGGGGGGTGGAGGGTTACTCGTGTGAGAGTAAAGAAGGGGAGAAGAGGAGGAGGAGGGGGCGGAGCTGCAGACAGTATCCCCCGCCCTCGCGCTCGTCTGTGTGCCCCTCGCAATTACCTGTTCCACCAGAACTGATCTGAGCGCGAGTTGTCGAGCACATGCCACGTTGGGAGAAGGGCCAAAGCTCAACTGAACTGAACTACCTTTCTTGGCTCGTGAGGACCGTTTGAATTTAATCCACCTCCTTAAAAAAAAAAAAAAAAACTCCAGGGGGGTTTAAACAAACCTCTAAAACACACACAACCGACCGAGGACCTGAGAGACTCGCAAGGATGCACTTGTTGTCCGCCTGCTGCGTGTGCGCCCTCCTCATCACCGCGCTCCTCAGTCGAGGTAAGCCATTGTCTCATTAGCCGGCCGGTGCTGCTGGTCATGCGGAGTGCGCCCGTGCACATAGAGCCGCAGGTATGAGCGGAAAGTCCCGGCTGTCTGTCGCACGCAGGTGCCATCAAAACTTGAGTTCGGCTTATCGACCATATTTTTTGGGGAGAAGTGGAGCAGTGTCGCCGGTGGTTTTCAATTATAAGTTAGTGAGCTGTAATATAGTTTGTGTTAGTCGTAGTTCATTAGAGTATTTATTCATGGATGCTCCTTTTATGTGGTTATGTTCATATTTCCCTCTTTTTAAAAAAAATTACAAAATCGTGCAAAATATATTTTTGGTGTCTTATAAGCCACATATAAGAGAGTGGTTACTTCTCTCCTCGAGTTAAATTATGAAAAAAAAATCTAGATCTATCTTTTGTTCTTTAAAAATCACCTATAAAGAGACTTAATAGTTTCTTATAACTCCACTCTCCTCAATAAAAGGTGTATTGTTCTATCTACTGTTATAAATGCATGTTCATACCTGTGAAAAAGTGACTTTTCTGTGTATAAACTGCTTATGTGACATGAATTTTAGCCAGTACAATGAATTGTACCCCCCCCCCCTTTTTTTTTTTTTTACTCCACATCATGGGAGAGGCAGTGAGGTAGTCATCATCACCCAGTCTTCACATGTGCTCATGCCATGATGTCATCATGATGCTCCTCATTTTTTATGTGTTTTCTCCCTTGTTAACTCAGGCTGTTGAGCAGAATGATGCTGTGTGCACATCCTGTCTGATTTATTGTAATTATGGGCTGCCTGTTGGGTGGGGGAAAGCGCTCCTGACAGGATCCTTCTAGTAATTACACATAGGATAGGGCTCATTTTGGACGTGGGCAGTTGTATTGGTTTGTCCAAGTGAATGCTTCCAAGTTCTAGCAAAGAAATGTGGTTCTGTGTGCTGTGATGGCAATGCAGCAACTTGGTGATTTAAAAATATGCTTTGAAAATTAGATTATGTTGCCCGTGGTAGCTCTCTGAAAAGAAGACGAAACAAGGACAAAGCATGCCTTTAAAAGCGCATCTGTTTGTGTGAATTTTATTCTTGGTATTTAATGTGCAGAGGACGTCAAAGCTTCTCTGCAGGTTTCCTTGTTGTCTGCTCCCTCAGGCCAACAGGTAGCAGCACCATGTGCTCAGATCACTCAGCCAGACCATTAAGCAAAGCTGCACAGGAGCTCAGAGTACTCCCTTGGATAGCAGAAGGGCGGAGAGGTTGATCTCACTGTATTCCCTTCCACCTCATCACACTTCGGTGACGCCTGTTGTTGTAAATTAACACCATGCAGCACCTATCAGTCAGGCTCAGGTGGTTTATTTGAGAGGAAACGAATGGCCCTTTTAAGGTGTCTTTACGCTGCTGTGCCGCTGCAGTGCCGTGTGCTTGAGAGACTGGAGGAGAGTGCACTGAGTTGGTAATGAGGTTTGACTTTATGGTTGTCCACACTGCTGTGTGTTTAGCAGACATGCTGCCTTAGGTGATGGTCAAAATATGTGTGTGTTTGCTTACTACAGATGGTCAGAAAAGTGCAAAAAGTGAACCATGGAAGGTTTCTGTTGAGTTATAAAAAAAAACCCCAGAAATATTCTTCATCTTCTTTGCCAGTTTGGTCAATATGGGTAAAATCTGACTGAAGGGGATTATTGTGTTGTGGATTTCGCAATAAAAGAAATTGCATCGATATTTGTAATAAAAAACAGGCCTGTGTTTATTATATTTGAACAGATGAAAAAGCAACAGCTCCAGGGACTTCAGCGTTAAAGGCCGAACTACAGCCTCAACCAGATACAACAGAAAAACAGAGCCCTGAATTAGTCTCAGAACAAACAGAAAGATGCATCTGTTTTTTTGTTCGCTCCCTTGTCTCCACCCTTCCCCCACCACCACCATCCTCACCACCCCACCTCCTCTCCTGAACAGACAGGCAGCGCTCGGTGTCACAGCTGGTATTACTTGTCAAGCAAGTGGGGCTCTCCCTTTTGCTAATGGACTAATCTTTTGCAGGGGTCACCCAATTTCACCTGAGATAGATTCACCATCCTTTCTGTCATCTTTAACTAGGTTATATGCAGGCGTGTCTCATGAATGTTGTTGTTAATGCACTGGCAAAGGAAGGGACGGCTTTAATTGTATGTTTGGGTTTCATCTAAGATTTTGTATAACTGTATATTTGTGTGCTTGTGCACGTCTTGTCTTGCTCATAGCTGGGTTCTTCTTGATGTTTGAATACTGCTTGCGGTTGTTTCTTCTTTGAAAAGAGATTTCTTTGTGACTTACAAAGTATTGTATCCCTTCATGCAAAATTCAGATGTATTCATGAGAAGTATGGCAACTCAACCGAATGATGGCTTTGAATAGAAATGCTGCATCTGTACTTCACTTTGTACTATCACTTTAAGACTTTCTCTCTTAGAGTACTTTATTTTTTCGTTGATCAAATTCTGCAAATGGCTAGCTGGCGAAGCCATAGAACACAATCGATTTGTGAGTAACTGAATAAAAACATGAGGAAATGGGAGAATCTTCAGAATGTAAGTCAGCAGGAAAATATATGTAATCTGACTGACAGCAAACCCCTAATTAATCAATAGTTCCTCTCAGTTATTACAACAGAAATGGTTAACATGGCCTCAAACTAGATAGCTAGACAAGTCAATACCCTGCTGGGGTGCTTAACCCAAATTTGGCAGCTCATTACATCTCTCAAAAGGCTCTGTAGGACTCAGTCCTGTGTTTAGAGCGAAGCTGTGAAGTGGATTCTTTTCTAGAATTACGCAGTTTGTATACTCATCTTTTTGATTGGGAAACAACCTGAGTAGTGAGTAGAAAGTGAGACAGATGCCATCACTCACTCAAAAATCACAGAACCGGCGAGATGTAAAAAAGAACCAGATGTTCAGCAAGGAGAGTTGAGTTTGTGTGTGCTTGTTTGTGTGCATTATGTGCTCCTCAGGCCTTGACCAGAATAAGAAATGAGTGGATATGTGAGCAGAAGGCAGAGGTGGTGCTTAAGGGGGAAAAGGTGGACACTTTCATTGGCTCCTCAGACAACGGACGGGCTGTTCAGACAGGCCAGATCACACTGTAAATTACAGGAGCATTAAGATGGGGAGCCCAGTGTCACCTCCCATCAGGGAGTGCAGAATTCCTACCAGCGCCCCTGGCAGCAGCGCTTTACAGCCTGGATGTGAGGAACGAGCTTAATTAACTACTGACATGGTAACTTTAGCTTTAAATTACAAGTAACTAAAAATAAAGATGAAAATTTGGCTGATGTAAAGCCACAGAAAGGCTAAAAATATCCTTGAAGTTATGATGAAATTAAAACGTGGCTGTTACATAATCTTTGATGTAGCATAAAGAGAGGTTTTATTGCAGATGTAAAATTTGGAAATTTCAGGATCATCATTAACCTCCTTTGCTTCTGTGAGGGGAGAAAAATCCAGTGCATCCGTTTGCCGCCTAGTAACACATACATCTTTACCATATGGTGAGGTGACTCATAAAGTAGAGCTAAAATGAAATGTTGATTAATCTATAGTGTGAGACTGTGCAGACAAGAGCACAGCTCTGATGTAACACAGTTCAATATAGACATGCACTACTGTTGTTTTTTTTTTGTCTTTGCCTGCCCTGCACCCATCACACTGTCGGTTGGAGTGGTGCACACACACAGACACACACACACACACACACTCTAGTTTCTCTCCACCCCCAGCAGGACACTGAACAGGTGGAGGAGTGTTGGTTTTTAGGGCCGTGAAGGGGGCGAGTGTCTCTTTATGATTCCTGTTTGTGTGTGCAGTTGTTGAAAGAAGTAGCAGTTTGTTCCCATCACTCATGTTGAGCAAGATGATAACTTTAACTCCCTCACTTGATTATAACTTGTAGAGGTAATTTTTTGTTGTTGTTTTTATGAGAAAGGCTCTTAAACAGTTTGAGTGTTGTTTATGTTTTTGTATTCCTTCCAATGTGTCATCACTAAACCAAACTCCACCATTAGATTAGACATAGTTAGACAGCAGCGAAGATATGTGAGTGACCTCGTGACCATGCTGAGCTTCCTATATGTCGCAGGGAGCAACTCTCTCTCTGCTGGATTCACAGAGCAAGGAGGCGTATGAGTAGCTGTGCCTTGAGGAAATGAATGGACTTGTGTGGCAAAAGTAATCACTCTCTGACAATGACTCAATAAGGAAAAGGTTTTTTGTTCGCCTCTGACAGTTTTACACACAGAATTATCAGTAAAATAGCAGCAAGTGAATCTTAATTACAGTTTGGTGATTGGCTTGTCCCACTTTTAGAGCCAGAGTGTGAGGTATATTCAATTTTTATATTCTCAGCTAAAATTCCTTCCTCAGCTGTCCATTTTTTTTAAAATTTGCTTTTGCTTTCATTTGACCAGGTTGAGAGAAGATGTTTGAATTTAGCACTTTATTGACTGTTTACACGTGCTGTTTTACAGTCTACGTGTCTAGACAGAGGCGAGATCATGTAATAGAGAGTGAAACCTTCATAATGTTTTACCAAACAGACCTAACGTCTCCGTTTTCTGTTTGCCATTTTCTCACTTTCCTTATTTTGCACACAGGTTCCTGGCTCTGCCATGCAAAATAATGGTTTATTTGTTATCCGAGGGGAGGGACCAGAGTTCTATTGTTTCAGCTATAAAGAAAGGCTTAACAACAGGAGGGAGATGACTGTGCTATGTAGTAGTGCTTCTTTTATGCAGGAATACCCCCATTGAAATGCATGAAGGTATCCTTGGTTTTGGTGAAAGACCAACGGCACTCTGAAATTGGGCAGCCCTTGTTTCAGAGACAAAAAGTGAGGTTGTTTCTGTCTTTTGTCATTGACGCAGCCCCCAGCTTTCACTGGATTCCTCTGGACTCCCGCCGACTATATTGTGGGGCTGGCGCTTTTTAAACAAATGAGTGTATGATAGCGACTTCTTGCTCCCGC